AGCAAACCACGAATGATAAGAAATTGTTGAATATCATGCTGTGAAAACTTATTATCTAGTTGTTCAATGGATGAATTTGTTGCTAAAATGAATGATAAGATAATTTTTTTATCTTCATGTCGATAAGATTTTTGATTAAGCCAATCATTAGCTACAATTTCACATAATAGTAAAAATGGCTGATGTGATTGCAAACGTAATTCTGGAAAAGCACTTTTTCGTGGAGGAGATTTATAGCAAACTTCTTCACTGAAACATTTTGAAATAGATAGAGCATGTTTTTTGACCAAATAAAGTACTGTCTGAATGATATTCCAACGTTCTGCACCTCCATCAACGTTTTGTTGACTACCTACAGTATAAACTAGTTGATATTTAACATGTAGAATTTCATCAGATTCATCTAATACATCACGAGCAAATAATTTTAACCATCGTTGAACTGTCAACATAGAACGACCAACATCAAATTCATTTCGACGGCATTTGTCTATAGTAAGCAAATCGAAGGATAATATATCTTCTGGTGAAGTTAATATGACATCACAATTATGTAAACCTTGCTTGAGACGATTAAAAATATGATTAATTTGTTTCTCATTAAAATTCATGTCACGACGACATAAAAAGGAAAATATGCGTCTATTCAGTAAACCACCTAATTTACATCGTAATGATTGATAATTTGTTGGGAATAAGGATTTAAGAACTACTATACGAACTAAACTGGAATCAGATGAAGCTAAACTAGCAGCTAACATTGGTAAAATAACAGACGTTTTACCTTCTCCCATATTCATTTGCAGTACCAAATTGTTTACTTTAGTCTTATTTGTTGCCATACCTGTTTGCATCATATGACGTGCTACGTTTATTTGGATTTCTCGAATGGTTATGTTCATTTCCAGTTCTAAGATTAGCCAAGAAATATGTTCAGATGGTTTCCAGTTTGAATGTGGTGTATTTGATATTTCTTTTGCAAAATCTTCCAATTTGTCATGAATGGCATAATGTAACGCTCTTTCTAGCTGCTGTTCTAACGTCCAACAGACAAGAATACCACCTAGTAATGTAAGTTGATCGTTATTCAAAGGAAATTTTGCTATATTTTGTTGTAAGAAAGCGATGAGGATTGTTGGAGTGATTCGTGAGATCAAACCTATTTCGAATAATTGTTCATTAGATACTGTAATAGATTCTATTAATGCATTCCAGCTTTGTATGGATTCTTTCTGCAAGCAGTTGAGACGTTCTCGAATTTCTTCGATCGAAGGATTTTCTTTTCGAATTTGTTCGTCCAATAAAAACTTTTTCCAACTTTGTTTTAACTGATTTTCAAAATAATTGCCAATTTCACTCAAAGGATTCTCTTTATGGTTGATAGAAGGGAAAATATGATTTGGGAATGTCATTTTTCGATTGGCAGTTTGAGAAGAGATTATTGACTTATTGAAATGACCTGAATAAGGAAAGTAAAATTTTCCAAAAGCACTTTCTAACAGTTTTTGATCAATTAATTTTTTTATCCATTTGACTTGTAGTTGATAGTGTTCTTCAATTGATTCAACTGCGAACTGCTGAGGATTATATGATATTGTAGTATAGAACTGTTCTATCAGACTGGAACAAAAGAGACTTTGAATAGATTCTAAAAACGATCGAAGTTTTCTATTATTTTGCCAAGAAATGAATAACTTATTAATCTGAGACATTTCACTAGAAGTTGTCAGTTTACTTTTGTCTTCATAATAACAATCATTCTGCCAAGAATTTTCGATTTCTGCGATTATTCGATTTCGTATGTCTGCTGTATAGTAACTTGATAGGTTGATCCGCTGCCGTACAACTGAAATTTCTTCAATATTGGAATATTCAATGAATGGAGGAAATGTGACAATAGTTGTTAATGCAACAGGCATTTTAAATGCTGTTTTAAGCATTTGAAAATAAAATGGCTTAATTTTAAGTTTGTCGGAGATGTAATGAAGAAAGTTTATCAACTTTTCACACCGTTCGATTTTGTCTTGATTGTTTAGAATTGTTGTTATCTTGAGATTATCAACCATTTTCAATAAACCAATCCATGTAGTTTTCAAATGGTTTTCATCATTCAGCCATTGGGACAAGGGTAGCCATTGTTGTTGGGAACAGTCTTTAAGGTTGATACTTCCTTTCTTATACAAATCATCAATAGGCCGAACAATGGTGTGGTTAATTGCATGTGTACAATAATTTGGAGCTGGTTGATATGGTGTCGCGTATAATGAGCACAAGATATTTTCTTCCATCTCTGCGGATAACTTAACTATAGGATTGTACGAGTCTCGATAATCCCAATAAAGTTTTTTTAACAATGATTCATTATACGAGTTGTTTTCAAATATTTCGGGCATCTTAGTACAAATGGATGATGAATACATGAACTCCAACTGTTGGCTTGTTTCAATTAATTTTTTTGCTATCAAATAGTATCCAAAATGTTGCATGGAATAAGATATACCATTATTATTCCAATCTATTTTTTCCATACTAGTCAGATGTCCTGGATAGTAATCTACTTTTGGCGATATGGCAGCAATTTGACTCAATATATTTAGAGAAAGAGAATCAAAGGGTTGATCTGACCAACAACCAGCTGAATTTAACAATTGAAAAGCGCGTTCCATTCCAGTCATTCCAGTATACTGATCTGGTAAAGGATGGGATGTCATTGCATGTAACAATGCTAAATAAAGCCAACCAGTAGGACTATCAGTCGATTGTAAAATTTTTAATCGATCATTTAGAATAAAAACAAAATATTGGTGAAGAAAAGATACTGACGATGATCGCTGTATAATAACAGCTTGCTGATTGATGTCGGATGTCTTTTCACTACGTAATTCTCCAAAAGGTACGATCAATTTTCGATACGGATAGCGTTCCATTTTATGGTTGTTGTTGACAGCTAATGGTGATAGGAGGAGACCAGATGTCAAACTTGTTAAAGTTCCGAACAATTGATGTTCATCAACACACATATCTGAATATTCACGAGACATAATTATATTTGTTCTAGGATCGTATTGAAAAGCAATGCCTAAACGCGATAAATGGATATGAATGATAGCATTAGTGTGAAAAACATTATCTCGCATCATGTATACATAGGGTTTATCATCAAGACGAATAAAATATCGATTAAATAAACTTTGAAAGAATGTTGATGATTGATTAATCAAAATTTGTGTATTAACTGATTCAGTGGTAGTAACATATCCTGTCTTCATGGATAATATATAAGATTTATTAGTTAAAAAATTGATATCTTTAAAATGAACGGGACGAAACTCGATTGTTTGATTTTTTGTATTCCACCAATGACTGTGATTGGAGACAAACATATCTGGTAGTTCATTCTCGAAAAAACTATGAGGAATCAATTGAAAAATATCATTTGTCTGCATGTACCGTTCTTTAATAATTAAGTGATTATTTCGGTCATTGAAATGAAAATCATAATGAACGAGTCCAGTACCATGATACGAATGTTTAGTAATGTAAGTATTAGGTGAATCGGCCGCTTGAACTTCAAAGATATGATCACCAAATACACGAACAAATGATTCATGGAAGATGATTTTGTCAGGTAAAAAGCCTATAGTCATATTATCGATCAAAAAAGTTCCTCTTATAAAATCAATTGATATAACTCTCGAATCATATTGACAATCGTACCAACCATCATATGGATTTTTTGTTCGCTTTGTCCACTGTCCGTTCATGCTACCTTTTCTTTTAGTGACTGCCCAGTAGATCACTGTAAATTCATTCAAACCTTGATAGAATGTTTTCTGTAGAAATTTGGCAACTGTTGGTTGTATCATTACTAAGACCCGTTCACTAAATCTCATAATATTTCTTATAAAAATACTCATATTGGCCCAATTCTTGGTTAATATTATATTATCATGAACAGTAGTCGCTGCTTTTAATAAGGATACAATATCTTCATTCGATGACAATAAAAAATTGATTCTTTGTTGGTTAGTTGAAAATGTCAAAATGCAAGAAATGCCAACAGTTACCATTTTAAGACGAAGATTTTCCACTTCGTCCAAAGCTGATGGTGATATAGTTTGAATACTTCTTGTAATGAAATTAATCCATTTTTCAGCAATTTTACGACATTTTATTGCTAAATTAGCAGCTTTATTTTTCCTTGTTGTATTACAAATGCTTAACACTCTCATCGTAATCATTGTAATGACGACTAATACTAATTCATTCTGCCAATTTAATGCACAGTCATCTAAATGACGATTCAATCTTGAGATTAACTCATCGACAAAATGATCTTCCAATAATTGTTGATGTGATTCTGGACACCACGAATCAGACAATATATTTGAATCTGATATTAACGGACCATATTGTAATATCGAATGTATAATCAGTATTGCTACACTCTCTTCAGCGAAAGATAATGAGTCCATCTCAAGAATTGTTAAAAGATTCCACCATTGTAAGCGATGACCGGAACGAAACGAGCCGAATTCTACAATCTGTGAAGGTTTCAAACGTGATGAATAACTACATAGTTGAGCAATGACGTCATTTTGAACGAACTGTGTAGTGTTTATAGTAAACTGTAACTGTTTATAATCTGGATGATCAAGCTGAGGAGTCAATATACGAACTTCATCTTCGAAATCAATTGGTTTGGTAGGTGAGATTTGAATCTTCAGACTATTTTCGAATAGAAAGCCTTCGGTAGGCGTGAATGCAATTGATGGTGGAGTGGAATAGTGAGTTTGACTAATAGACTTAGTAGAAGATACTAATTTAACTTTGTGATTACTGAGACCGGTATAAAACGACTCTAATTTACTTCCATGAGAAGAAACGTTTAACCATTCATGCATACAATTTTTTGGTTGTGGGTTAGGACGATTTATAAATTGCCAAATGATATCTCGATAACATCGTATTTCAATGGGCATTTGTAATTCAAAAATAACGGCTAATGCACTCTCGCGCGTCCATGGTATCGGACATTCGTAAACTTTTACTTGAATCTGGTTTGCTTGTTTCAGAGCTTTGCATCGTTTGCATCGCTTACTCTTATGACGATTGGCAGTATATTCACAAGAAGTATTATTTACTACATTCATTAGTTGCATATACATTTGCTTTGCATTGTTCACTTCGTTTATTTTATTTTGTTTGTCTTGTTCAGCTTGAATTCTAATGCGTTGTATCTCATCATTCATTTGTGGTGAATGATCAGCGAAATATACTCCAAAAGCATTGTTAGATTCTACATTGTTTAAAAGATCAGGATATAATTTATTATTGAATTCAGTAAAATAATTGTAAAGACTACGTGCCCTAATCATATCTTCTCGATTGGGTAAGACCAAAAATTCGAACAGCTTTAAAACGTTGGGAATATATATAGAATGTAGTTTTAGCCGTTCAAATCTTTTATCTTGAAATAATTTTTTATGCATACAACGAATAATTGTCAATGATGTTAGAATAAATCGGCTGTGACCCATCGGATCTGTTACACCATTTTTTGACCAATAATAATTCAATGCTTCAGTCTGATATTCTTCGAAGAAATGCAATAAAATTTCGAAACGATTCTTTCCACTTATGGATAGTGATGGGCGATTCATCCATTGTTCTAAACAGGATTCAATCCAAATTTCCATATAAGTTAAAGCTGTTACAACTGTATAATTCATTTGTTTTATTAAAACATGATGTGACGGTATATAATCTTCATGATTAACATTTGTGAGAATGCCATTATTTCTAAAACTTGAGAATAACTGACATATTTCATTTGAATTTTCATTATTCAGATACGCCTTTAATTGTAAACATGCATGTTGATATATCTTAGGACCATTAAATTTTACATTATTTAGTGACAATGGCTGGCCCCATTTTTCATTCATCTGAATGGAATCTAGCCAATCTGGTTTTGGAAGAATTTGATCAATTTTCATTTGTATTTCCTGTTTCATATGTTGGAACCAATCGATCATATGATTTGAATCTATAGACGAAAGTAAACCTTCAATTTTATTTAATCTTCTTAGAATCTTTCGAATACAATGAACTAATAAATCAGTGGATGTACTAACATGTCTTGTGTTAATAATATGAGTAAGAAAGTGGGTAGTTAACAACTTATAAGCAATGGTGCCAAGATGTCCCAAACGTTTAGTTAGAATTGTCTGAAATACTACTTTGATAGTCATCCATAAACCTGAACGTCGAAACGGTAATAATGCATTATTCCATCTGATATGATCACGATGTTTCTTCTTAAATTGAATCAATGTATTTGAGTTGTTTACAACTTTTATTCCGTCGAAGTGTTGGATCCACCATTGACACACATAATGTGATTCTGGAACTTCACGCATCTCATTAAATTCGCGAGAAGACTTATAAGATTTGAAATATTCAATTGTATTATACATAAAATCCATCAACAATTCACAATGAACTTTGGAGTTCAACTGTAACCGATTGCGCACTCTGTATGTTGCTACTGGAAAATAAGATAGATGAGGTATCAGAGAAGAAGTTATTGTTTCATTTGGTAATAAAACTTGCCAAGCTGAAATTAATGCTTGGTTACTGTTATTTTCATCAGTTTCAATTAAAATGGCAGCGTTTTGAGCGTGAAAATAAAGAGGAAGGAAGCTTCCTGACGATAATTGCTCAATAGTAGATTGTATATTTGAGACAAAGAAGTTTTGTAAATTTTGTAAGTGAGACCAGTGTTCAACGCATCTCATCAAGACCCGAAATGCTGGCAATATAGGCGATGTATCTTCCACTTTGACGGAATTCAAATATTCATTCATACATTCCAATATCTTATATTCATATTGATGATTGTGTTGAATTAAAAAGTCACTGTCAGCAGAAGAAGGCAAGTAATGAGGAAGAAACAAATGATTTAAAATTGATTTATTTAATTTCTCTAATTCTAAAGAACTGTTGTTACTGATTAAATTATCTGTTGGTACCACAAACTAAAACCACAAAGCGAAAACTAGAAAAATACTCAAAATATCTGAAAGAAGACAACGGAAAAAAAGAAAGACTTGTAATCAGAAAAGCCATAAAGTCACCAGTCAAAAGAAAAAAAAGTAATAGATAGATGAAAAGCAATATAGAGTGCATAAAAATGCTTTTCTATGAGCATAAAATTCTACCTGTGCATACTATATACGATAAATTCTATAGTAACAGAAATCCGTTAAAAGATATGATGGATGTGAATTTGTGGCTTTATGGTGGATACGAATGAGTACAACTATAGTACATACTAAAAGTTCCATGTTAGTTTTGATCTTAAGAATTCTTGAAACAGTTCTTTCATAGAAACTGTCTGAAAGAACAAATCACTTCTAATATTTCTCAAGTTCGAAAATAAAATGAAGCTGTAGAGACCTATTTTCAAGAATTACGTACGTTATTCCACGGATTAATTGAAACATCAGAGCTATCTACATACTATCATGTAAGTATTGTATGATTGCTTGATTATACATTAGAGATAGGTAAGCATCATACAGAATGACTTTTAGTAAAGTGGTTTAATAGATTATCAGCGTCTTTCAATTTTTTGGAACTTTGCTCATACAAAAACATTTATAGAACCACTGCTGTGAACCTACAAGCGTGGCTGATAATTTCCTCTCCATCCATACTCATACCCATATCATCTAACATTCGGAAAACTCAACCAATCCATGTGTGAAAATGCACTAAAGTCTTGCAATCTTTTTCAACTCTTCTTTTGTTGCATTTTTCTTTCTAGTCCAAGACACTAATTTCTCTAGACCCATTGTATTTTAATGATTACGCATGCCTTTGCAATGTTGGTTAAGGATATGCGTGTTATTGCAACTAATAATTTTTCATTTGATAACAATCACAATCACACTCTTTATGAGACTA